TAAGTTATTCCCTCTTCATTAGCACTTAGTTATCTTTTCAATGATGAAAGACTGAACTGGCACGAGCAGCTTTATATTTTCTTCTTTACACAATTTTTATTGTAGGCTCTCACCAATCTTCTTCTTGATATGTGATTTTTTTTTTTACTGTGGTAAAATGTACATAACATAGAATTTACTATTTTAACCATTTAAAATGTACAGTTTAGTGGCATCAAGTTCATTCAAACTGTTGTGATGAAGAGATACATTACAATGAAGGAAGCCAAGAGATAGGTAAGGATTCACATGGAAACTCTGTGTCAGAAGCTGTGCTGGAACCCCAAATATGCATATGGAGGAGATAGCTATGTAGCTGGATAAAATTTTTGTGACTTTGAATCTTCCTAGAAATTAAAGATAAATTGGGAAAATAAGGTCATGCTGTATGTGTATTTTGCATGGTTATATTTAGTGGTTCACATATGCATACGGTTACAAATAGCAAAATTAATGCTTAATGTTTATAAGTGTAAGAGTCATATGTCAAAGTATTTTCAAGCAGCTTTGAGGGTCCATTTAATGCAGTTTATTTCTGATTTTCCTGTGATACCATCATGAGGCGACTGTCAGCATATGAGGCCAGAAAGCTACACAGCATCTGCAGTTCACAAGGGCTGTCTGCTTCTTTTTACATGTTACTGGAAGAGTATATTTCCAACAGTGATAAAAACTTTTTGGGTGTGGGGATAAAAAATACCCTATAAAGGAAGCTAACTGTAAAGATAATGTGGTTTTAAAAAATGGTGATTTTTAAGGAAGAAAATAGAAATGCGGGGAACAGCAATATGAGGATTATCAAATTTAACAGTGACTCAGATGCTTGACACATACAAGTTCATCTTTGCTCAATCAAAAACAAGAAAACCTGACCAGTGAAACCATTTTATCCACCTCTCTAGCCCTAATGCAAAAATCTTGTGAAAAATAAAACTTTAGGAAACGTGAAAAGGCAGTTAACCTGTTTTAAGGATACATGTATATGGAAGCACATGACTATTGACAAGTATGAATTGAGTAAAAGCCAGAAGGTGTGCAAATATTTTCATAAAGCGTTTCCATTAAGCCCATCTTTCCATGAATAAGGGTCGCTTTAAGAAATTTAGGAAGATCTCCCCACTTTCTCACTATCTCTGTCTCTGTCTCTCTCTCTCTCTCTCTCTCTTTTTCTTCTGATGAGAGTGGCCACATCTTAACTGACTGTTTTCTAGGAAGTACTTTCTTGGAAGCTGGAGACAAACCTAGACGAGAAGGCTAAATGGACCAAGCCTCTCCCTCTGTGCTTTTGTGAGCATAAGTATCTAAAGAGGGCAGAAAGCCTCAGCATTTAAAGTGGGCAAGAATATTCCTCTTGAGTGAAACCTGGCTTTTTTTCAGCAATACAGTGTCCCCTGCAGCTTACCTGTATTTGTTTTCTACTGATGCACATAAATTACTACAAATTTAGCAGCTTAAAACAATGTACGTTTATCATCTCACTAGTTCTGTGGGTCAGGAGACCAGACATGGCTTAGCTGTGTCCTCTGCCTAGGGTTTCACAATGCAATCAAGATCTCAACTGGGGATGTTCTTTATAGAGCTCAACTCTTATTACAAGTTCATGTAGTTGCTGGAAGACTTCAGTGCCACGTGGTTGTAGGACTGCTGGCCATCAGCCAGTGGCCAATCCCCAGAAGACTCTCACAGTCCTTTTTATAACACAGCTGCTTAGTTCTTCAAGGCCAAGCAAGATAATTTTTTGACCTCCAGACCCTTTGTAAAGGCCCAACTGATTAGGTCAGGTTCACCTAGGATACTTTCCCTTTTGATTCATTCAGTGTTAACTAATCAGGAGCCATAATTATAGCTGCAAAATCTTTTTGCTTTATAAGGAGAATTTCCATCCTAATCATGGGTCCTATCCACACTCAAGGGGCAGGGATTATGGTAGAGCATAGGCCATTGGGATCATCTTAGAATTTCGCCTACCATACCTGTTTATTTTCTGTGTTTCTCTCAGTGTCAGGAGGAGGGGGCAGGATTCTCTTTGCTTTCCATAGCTGCTTTCAGACTATTAGTTTCCTTCTTCTCATGAGAAATAACAACAAAAAAACACTGTGTCTGAGACCTGTGTTTTTTGCTATTACTGTTGTCTCTTTCATTTTATTGCCATCCTATACTATCCTATGAATTATTCCAGCAACTACATAAGCTTGTAAGAGGATGTGAGCTCTTGAAAGAAATACAGCCCCAGTTGAGATCTTGATTGCCTTATGAAACCATAGGCAGAGGACACAGCTAATCCATGCCTGGTCTCCTGACCCGCAGAACTAGTGAGTTGATCAATGTACATTGCCATCTATCCTTCTGGTATGTCCTGTTAATAAAAGATGTTGGCCTTTCATTTTGCTCCAAGCCTAGCCATGACTGTGGGTGATTTCAATTTCTGGGCCCACCACATGCAGATCAGGCATGGGAAGGAAGAAAGCTTAGGAAGGAGCATGCATATCAACCCTTTGTTCCTTTAGGTGATTTCTAGTGAGGTCAGAAAAGTTGTAGAAATGTATTTTGCTGTTTATTTTGTATTTTATCTCTCTCTCTCTCTCTCTCTCTCTCTCTCTCTCTCTCTCTCTCTCTCTCTGTCTCTTTCTCTCTTTTTGGTACCTGTAGATGTTTAAAAAAAGTTAGCTACAATGAGAGGTAAGATCTAGGGATCAGAAGCTAGATCCCTAGCTCCTGTTTGTTTGCAGCAAAACTTTAGAGCCCAAACAGCTTACCTTAAGAGCCCTGGGCTTAGTATTGTCTATAATTATTTCAGTAAGGCGAACCTTGAAGAAAGGGAAATTGAGGGAGCTGACCCAGGTTCTGACTGGTCAGTTGCCTGAAGCTGTCAAGATAGCCAGAAAGGTCTATGTTTTAATGAGAATGAGTCCATTCCTGTGTGCTTTGGTTGGCAAGTACAAAGTATGTTCTGATGTTGCTAAAGCCCTTACTCTGCAGTTATTGAATGGGCTTTGTCCGAACCTATTTCTTCTTTGCTTGTCCTGCCTCTGTTCTGGAGCATCATTTTGCTGAGTCCCATACTGGACTGGATGTGACTTCCTTGAACATCCCAGCTGTTAAGGCAATTGCAGAGAGCTTTTCCTGAAGCTCTGCCTTTTCTAATGCCTACAATCCAGCCCTTAGAAGAAGCTGGTACAGATGCTCGCTGTCTCCATTAGAAAGAATTTACCTACTGTTGTGGACCTTTCTGTATTTTATGTGCAGCAGCTATCTCTTTTTATCTCCATAGTTGGGCAGCATGCTTCAGAGGGCATCGAGTAGTGACTCTATGAACTCACTCTGTATAGCTTCTCCCATTGGGAGCTGAGGTGGAAAGAGAGTGTGAGTACTGCCTGGCACGTTTGCCTCCCACCCTTCCAATGACCATTCTTTTGAGCCATGCTGTTCAACACTATAGCCATTAGCCACATATAGATATAAAAATTAAATGTAAATTAAATAAAATTAAAAGTTCAGGTTCCCTGTCACACTGGTAACATTTTAGGTGCTCCATAGGTACAAGTGATTAATGGTTACTCTATCAGACAGCAGAAATATAGAACATTTTCAGTGGAGATTCAAGTGTCTACTCTTCCCTTGGGGTTTAAGCTAAACTGACTTAAATTCCCACACACTTAGCAACTTAAAACAGCACCAGTTTATTATTTCACTATTCTATAAAACAGACACCCATCTGACACAGGTCTCACCAGGCTAAATTCAAGGTGTCAGCTGGATTTTTTTCTTTCCAAGAGCCTGAAGGGAGCATCTATTTTCTTGCTCACCTCTGCAGGTTGTTTGGCAGAATTAAGTTCCTTAAGGTTGTAAGTCCGAGGTCCTTATTTCTTACTGGCTGTCAGCTGAGGACTGTTTCCAACTGTAAAGCTGCCCATATTCCTTAGCTCCTGGCCCCTTCCTCAATAGTCGAAGCTAGTAAAAGTAGCTTGAATCCGTTTCATGATTGAAACATCTCCTGTATCTTCCATCACATCTCTCTGACTTTCTCTGAGTAAGTCTGTGCTTGTAAGGGGCTCCAGTGATTAAACTGGGCCTACTCAGATAATCTAGGATAATATCCCCATCTCAAGATCCATACCTTTAATTAATCACATTTGCAAAATCTCTTGCCTTATAAGGTAACATATTAGAGCATAAATATCTTCGGTGGGAGGGTATTTGTGTTATTTGGTCTATCATATGCCTCCAGATTAAGTTTTGCAATTATTAAGCAAAAAGAGCTTACTTAATATTTGAAAAGGTAGCTTATTTGAAGAGGATAATTAAGATTCTACCACTTTTATGTAAATATTATCACTAATTTGCTTTAGAGGTTAAACATCAGGGGAAAACAGGAAAATTAAAGACATAGATGAAGACATGGAGAAGGTGGAACCTGGAATTTTTGTTTCTTAAAACACATTTTATATCATGTCATGATGAAACACATATCCATAATAGTACAGTTTAGAGTACATTGATAATTTATCACCAAGCTATCTCTGAATTAAACGTTTACTCATATTTCATCTTTTAAAAAATGAAAAAAATCTATACAGAAATGACATTATAATTATGAAGATAATATCTGACATTGAACAATGTTATAATAATCTTACCAAATTGTAGGTATTTACTGTAATATACTCAATAGCTTGCCTGCCTATCAGACAATAGATTTCTAACTTGATTTTTAAGATACTTGAGTAAAATCTACTTTCTTTTAATGTTTGTTGCCATTCAAATATTCACCGTAGACTTCTGTACTACACTCATGTTTAATGTGTAAAATATTATACAATATATTTAATTAAAAGATTCTAGTTTATCATCTATTTTAAATATTTTACAATGATATGCTACCTTAATAAACTCCATTTATAAGTTTTAAGAATGAATGCAGTATTTACGTTTTTCATCTTTCATTTTATTTATCTCATTAGCTAAGAAACCTTTCCAGCTTGGACCTACGTCATATCACTGAACTGGATAATGAAACCGTGATGGAAATTGTCAAGAGGTGCAAAAATCTTAGCTCTCTCAATCTCTGTCTGAACTGGATCATAAATGACAGGTAACCATTGTAACATGTTAAAAATACTTTTCTGGAGGAAGACATGTAGCAAATACTAATTATCATTATAACAAGGCATGTCTTTAAAATTGAATGCAGTTGTGCCTTTTCAAATAGATATGTTTAAGTTTTGAAAACTATCTAGATCTATACATTTAATGCATTTTTTTGCTTGTAAGTGCAGCAAAGTTTTTAGGTGCTTTAATACAAATGTTTGCCTCAACAGTTGTAACAATAGTAAGCTGTTGAATTTTTTCTTTGATATCCATCTAAGATGTGCCTGCTTTTTGCCATGCTTGTAAGTTTGTAATGATATATTATTTGTCGCTTTAACATTTTTGCAACATTTGTGGTTGATTTTAATGATTTGGAGAAAGCATCTGAAACATTATACATTTAAACCCTTTCCTAAAGGTGACTTTTTTTTTTTTGGAGATGGAGTCTCACTGTGTTTCCCAGGTGCAATTCCTGGGCTCAAGTGATCCTTCCACCTCAGCCTCCTGAATAGCTTGGACTACAGGCATATATGCCACTGTGCCTATATTAGTCCATTCTAGTATTGCCGTAAAGAACTACCTTAGACTTGGTAATTTATAAAGATAAGAGGTTTGATACATAGTTCTGCAGGTTGTATAGGAACTATGGCTGGAGAGGCCTCAGGAAACTTAAAAGTATGGCAAAAAGCAGACGCGTCTTACATGGCCAGAGAAGTAAGGAAGAGAGTAGTGAAGTGGGATGTACTCCACACTTTTAGACATCCAGTTCTCATGAGAACTCACTCACTATCAGGAGAACAGCAAGGGGGAAATTTGTTCCCGTGATCCAGTCACCTCCCAACAGGCAGGCCCTTCCTTCAACATTAGGGGTAACAATTTGACATGAAATTTGGGTGGGAACACAAACCAAACCATATCAGTGCCTAAGGATGAAATTTTCCTTTCGGTATATACATGCAATTTGTTTCAGAAATGGAAGTCTCGTGATGAATAGTTTAATATACAGTATAGAACTGAAAGTTTTTTTCTTATGAATAATGATTAACTCATTTTTCTTTGAAATATTTCAGGAAGGAAGAAAAAAATACAGGAAAACCCTTAAAAGTAGCCTATTATAATGAAAACAACTACAGAGTAGCACTAGTACTACTGATTAGGTAGATTTGTAAATATGGGCATGAGAGGATTCTTGCCCAGTAAGTTTCCAAGAATTTTTATTTTAAGATAAGTTTCTAAAAATATTTTCCTTTCAAAATAGAAAGCACTACTTCAGCTAAAATTAGAACCTATTTAGATTTAAATATTCTTTTAAAAATAGGAGAAATAATTTTTGGTGTCAGATAATGCTTTAAATTTAAGATATTTCCCCTCTTTTTTTTTTTTCTTGAGACTGAGTCTTGCTCTGTCACCCAGTCTGGAGTGTAGTCAGTGGCACGATCTCTGCTCACTGCAACCTCTGCCTCCTAGGTTCAAGGGATTCTAGTGCCTCAGCATCCCAGTAACTGGGATTACAAGTGGGCACCACCACTCATGGCTAATGTTTGTATTTTTAGTAGAGATGGGGTTCTGACATGTTGGCCAGGCTGGTCTCAAACTATTGGCCTTAAGAGATCCCCCACCCCCTGCCTTGACCTTTCAAAGTGCTGGGATTATAGGCATGAGCCAATGTACCTGGCCTCCCCTCTTTTAATTTCCTTTTATACTTTAAAAATAAAACCATGTAGACTCCATTTTTCCCAATTTTGGTAAATTCTAGTGACATTTTCTTAAATTACCCTTAATTACCCTTTAAATTATGTGATAGCCTTTACTTCACTCTTAGTGAAATTTTTCTTGAAAAATGTACTCATCTAGAATGGGTATGTGATCACCATTTATAAAAATTCTCTCGTTTTTGAGTACTGTTCACCCTATGAAATATATCACTTTCTAAAAAAAATGGAACTGGAGGTCGTTATTCTAAGTGAAGTAACTCAGGAATAAAAAACCAAATACCATGTGTTCTCACTTATAAGTGGGCATTGAGCTATAGGTATGCAAAGGCATACAGAGCAGTATAATGGACATGGGAGCTCAAAGTGAGGAGTCTTGGAAGGGGGTGAGGGATAAAAACTGCCTATTGAGTACAATGTACACTACTCAGGTAAGGGGTGCACTAAAATCCTAGACCTTACCACTATACAATTCATCCGTGTAACCAAAACCACTTAACGCTCCTAAAGTTATTGAAATTAAAAAAATTAAGAAAAAGAAAATTCAAATAAATTAACTTTCCTGAAAAGAAAGTGTACAAAGTAAAATTCTCTATAATCAACATTCTATATAAAAATTTAAAGTAATCTTTAAAAAGCTATTCACAACAAATAATAAAGTACATAAATAAACAATATCTTGTGGGCATTGGTATCTAACATTAGTTTAATATATTACCAGAAATTTCTTGGTAGTACGTTGAATTAAAAGGAGAAAACTGTTTCTGCAACAAGATGATTATATTCCAAAACAGTTTTCAGTATACAGGACATGTGTAGAAGAGTCACTAATTGGAGACTACTATAATTGATAAATAAGATACAGTCTATACATGGCTATATGAATTATCTAAGTAAATATTTTGCTTAGGTTTGTATCATCTAATTAAAGATGGGAGAATAGATTTCTAATCTTCTAGTTCTTTAAATGCTAATTTTGTTGTAACTGGGTAATTTACAAATGAAAATGTTGGGAGCTCTCACTTTGCTTATCCTTCCCTTTGTTAGGCTTCCTGTATTCAAACTTTATGCTTTTTCAATCATTTTTTCCTACTTAACTGTAATGGTTATTTGGTGCTTGATGCTAAATATATGTATTGTAGAGATTTATTTGTAAGGAATGAAAGTGTATTTTTATGTTCTTAATGGAAAAGTTTGGATTGAGAAAACATGCATTTTAATGAGGTTGAACAGTAGCATTTTAAAGATCAGGCTCTTTTAGGTTTTAATTACACTACTTGCACTTATCCTGTATACTGTAATAGAAGTTTCAAACATTAAAACCCACTTTGCAGTATGATCTAAATTACTCATCTCATTGTTCTTGCCATACTATATTACTAAGCTAAGTAACATTTGTAATTATATTGGTGTAAATCTAGAACTTCTCATCAGACTTAATTATAATTTCAGCACTTAGCTGAGATGGGTTAGTAACCTTCCACATAGAGGGCACTGGAATGCACTAATGCATTTAGCCTATCAATTAAGTCTGTTTTACATTTGTTCATTATTATTATCCTCCAATAAATCAGAAAGCATTTATTAGCCCCCTACTAAATACTTGCTAGTATGTCTCAGACTATGGGGCACTGAGTTCCTGCTGTTCTCAAAGGTCACTCTCTTTAGGTGACATAAGACTTAATGATAATAGTGAGCCTTGTAAGGATTGAGGGGATGAAAGTAACCTTTATTACCCAGGTAATTGATAGGCACTTTACAAGTATTCTCATTTAATCTCTTCAACGTCTTTTATTCTGGGGAAAGTCATACTATTTCTATTAAGTCTAGACCATTCCTTTGACTTTTCTTTGGCTTTTCAGTGGATGTATTTCTCCATCGTCATTGCAGTAAAAACTAAGTGAGGACAAACAAGAAAAAATGAATGGCTAATCAGTCAATTTTCCATGTCATAGTTGGGATTCACATACAACTAACATGTATAAAATTCTTAATTTTTAAACTAAGCTCATTCTTTTCTTTCATACTGAAAGTATAGTGGAACTTTTAGATATTAATTTCTATACAATATCTGTTACAAGGATTTATCCTGAATGTTGCTGGTTTTAATAAAGGATTTCTCACATTAAGATAAACTTCAATACTTGTCACAGTCCTTATATATAAGATTTACCCTAGGCTTTAAAAGTTCTTATCTGTGAACATTTTTTTAAGTTCAAAATTTTAAAACATGCAGTAATTGAAAGACTTTACTCTTATGGTGCCTTTTAGCATTTTCTGGTCCTTGAATTGATGATCTCTGTGACTAAGACATGCTGCTCTTTATCTGTGTTTTTCTAAAAGCACTTTTTGTGTTTAGAGAGTTAAACAGCATGATATTTTCTTGTATTCAGAAGGATGGTCTGGTAGTCATTTGACATTTACCATTGCTTTTGAATACAAATAAAATCCAAGTGTTTTATGAAAAGAGGACACTGACTATTTCTATCACTGATTTAAATTAAACATCTGGTTATTATGTCTCCTCCACTCTGATTCTAAGTTTATTGAAAATTTTTTTTGTATTTATATTAGTCTTTATTATTTCACATCCAATTTGGTCTACAACATTTTTATATGTTTGACACAGAGTCTAAAAGCAGCAAGTTTTGGGTGTAAAAGCTGATGTATGAAAAACTGAATGGTCTGAGCATTGTTATAGCAATATACTTATAATGGTTCTTTTATTCTTTTTTGTTAATAAGAATTAAATAAAATCTAACTGATTTTAATAGATCTTTACAAAAGCTGTTTTTAGTTTTTAAACTATCAAAGAGCTAATCTCATTTTCAATTTTTAACATTGGTCCTGAAAATTAAATTAGTTTAATCTTATGTTTTATATCCCCATTATCAAATATATGAGCCTTTTTTGACAGTTGACCATGCTTGCTCATGAATTAGGAGAACAATATAGAAAATACTACAAGGCAAATAACATTATCTAATAAGTAGCTAAAATCACAAAGCATAACAAAGCCAGTGTTGTTGTTAATATCAATTATGTTGCCATAATTTGCTGTGTGAATCTTGTATTTATGTTAAGGAAGCTACTTCATCACTGCATATTCTAAAATTTGGAAAATTTTAAATCTTAGACTGGTATCCATTTTCTTTCAAGTAAAAAATAAGGTTTACAAAATAATTACTGTTTTATTCTGTATGTGCTAGAGGTTAAAATAGTGCCTATAGATATTTCTCTCTCTCTTTTTTTTAAAGATGAAGTCACACTCTGCTGCCCAGGCTGGAGTGCA